GTACTCTCTCCCTCTCACCTGTAAAGCCATCCCCTTTATCTATAAAAAGGGGATGCGCACCCTCCAACAAAAAGAGGTCCACTTCTTCAAGTTCAGACTCACTAGATCGATAGCTCAAAAACCCCTCAAGCACACGTTTGAACACCTAGCTCATAGCGGAGTTCCGGTCACCCTCGGCCCTTCCGGTCGGACCCGACCGGGCCTTTCGTCCACCCCTACTTTCTCCTTCTCATTTGTAACCCCACTACAGACTTCGAGCATCTGGGCTCAGGAATAAAGTCACCGACCGACCCACACTGGACGTAGGGCACGTTGCCTAAACCAGTATAAATCATGTGTCATTGAGTGCTAGGCCACCTCCGATCACAACGTATAGCAAAACTACAAATATTCACTAGTTGGTCACTTTCTGTACCAACATTATCTGTTGGTGTATTTATTTTGTGCAAATATATGTTGACTTTAGGAGCCATTAAATTAATCAAGGATGCTTAATATTATTAGTTTAAATATTGTGAGAATTTTTGTGGCAAAATGGTGATAGCTTTAGCTTTGAAAATTTTACAGTAGCTTCATTGTATTACTATGTGCTCCCTGTAATTTTTGTAGCCTTAAAATAGGCTAAGCACTAGGATAGTTAGGAGCTCCTTGTTGTAATATAAGTTAAATCACTAGTAAGAGTAAGATTACATTTTAGTTGCTAAGTTAATACATGTTAGATGAATCCATACCTATTTTGGTGGAAATGATTAGCGGCTTAGTAGATGTATTCTTATTTTAAGAATTGTTGTTGCCTTAATATTAAGGGTTGCATTGTCATGGCATGCTTGTAGAGAATGAGTTGGTGGAGTTCGTAACCACCGAAGAGCAGGAGTATGAGGAGGTGATCGAGGAGTACGAGGAGGAAGTTCTCGTATAGGAGGAAGACTCGGAGCCACCGGTGACTGACTTAGCTAACACCCCGCCTGCCCAAGGCAAGCCCCGGTGCATAACCCTTATTTTGAATAATCACTGGATATATATATATGTGTGTGTGTGTGTGATGTGCATTTACGTTACAGGATTTATATTGAAACTACATGCATAGATAAACCTACCTATGAGTCCTACTAGCATAGGTCGAGTAGCTGCTATGCTTAGGCTATTGGTAGCGTGAGTAACCTGTCGTTACTCACAATAGGTGATTATTATTATTACTCTCATGATAAAATGGTGAAAGAAAATGAAGACCGGGTAGGGATATGGTACGGGTATTGGTGGGTGTAATAGGTTATGTCCTGCGGTCAACAGGGCATAGCTTGGTTATACTGTTTTCCCTGTCTGTGTCAGTTAAGGACCGTCCGTTGCTGTGGATGGTAGTCAGGTCATAGACTTATTATCCTGAGCACATACTTGTTTATGGGAGCGGGAAGGCTCGTTGCTCTCTTGTCGTGGGTTTCGGCTCTTTCTGAACCGACTGATTGGAGGCGGGGATGGTGGAGGTCTAAGCACCACATTGAGTTCGGGACTCAGGAGTGGGGGCTTGGAGTCCAAGTTTGGATGGGGACTTGAACCCCTTGGCAGGAGAGTGGTGGGTTGGTCTTGCTTGTGCCTGGGGTACAAGCGGGGTGTGTGTTTAGGGGTACCTAGCTGGGATACATTGGTTCGCAAATCGCCGTGTGATACAATACGACTTGGCTATGGTCTAGCACCGTAGTAAGAACTAGAAGATGAAAGGGGATGAATGGATCTGATTGCTCAACTCTTCCTTGAAAGTAGAACAGGTGCTTACATAGAATGGTTAGCTAATGAACTAATCATGACTGCTAATAAAAACACATACATAAGGATTCACTACTAGTAATGCTTTTCGCAAAAAGGAAACCCAGCAAACCATAAAGCTTATCATATCCATTGGAGTCAGGAAATTATTCCCACTAGTCGGGTAAGTCTTGCGAGTACATTGTGTACTCAGGGTTTATTTACCCCTATTGCAGGTGCAGCTTGAGGAGTGGCTGTTGTGTGGAGGATTCTTCTGGTGGGCACAGACGGATCCTTGTATCTTATCGTTAGATGTTTATTTTAATTCCACTATTTAAATCCCGCACTCTGAACTTGGTATTATAATAATGTATTTTCGAGAACTCTTGTTGTATGAAATGGACTAAGTATTGTAAACTCGTTCTCATTATTGGATTCTGGATGAAAAACGTGGATTGTTCGAGTTCTCCCTTGGGGTGTGCTCAATGGAACCGCCTGGTGTAGCTTACTTTCGGGGTACTTAGTGTCTAGTGGAAGACAAGCGCCTCCGAAGGTGTGTTATTTCAGGCGGTTCTGCCATAGAAACCCAGCGTGAAGTGCGAGCAGACGAAGATGTAGATCAGTCTTGCCATGTCGAGGTCGACACAACAGGTGCTTGCTACTAGGAGTTGTTAAATGGAAATCATTACCATGGTAGAGATGTCAATGGAGAATTCTTTGTCGAGAGTTAGGTTCTCCATCCTCGTCCCTGCTGGGATTCATCCTCCCAGAATAAACTTCTCACAAAATCAACGATAGACCAACATCCAGTAGATCAATGAGGCCATCAACTCATCATAATCAAAAGATATCAAATAATCAATAGACCTCCATTTGTCTACTAGCACCATCAGATTGGGTATACATGGAAATAATATATTGGTATAAAGATGTGATTAGTAAAACACGGGGATGTGGATGAGATATGAGTCCCCATCCATAGTAAAACCGGCGAGGACTATTTTCTTCTCGTGGGGACTAAGAGCATCTCTACATATATCGAAGGCAAGGGAAGAAGATAGGATCATTGGATCCACCTTCGAGGATGGCGAACTCGTAGGCAAGTGAAACCCTAGCCACCATGGGGGGAGAATGAACCAAGAAGACATGGTGGTAGGGGCGGTGACCTTATTGATGTCGAGGGGTGCACGAAAGGTGTGCTACGGATGCAAATATACCCTTGCATAGCTAGATACAACCAATTTGAGATAGTGGGATGTAGGTTCAAGCTACTTTGAGGATAGTGCTAAGCCAGCATAAGGCCCTATGCAACTAACCAAACCGTCCCAAACTTGCACAGGTAACCAATCAGACCCTATATTCCAATTTGTCTATATATTATGCATGGTAAGTGTCGGTGCAGAAAGTGACCAACAAGTAAATATTTGTAGTTTTGCCATACGTTGTGATAGGAGGTGGCCTAGCACTCAATGACACAGGGTTTATACTAGTTCAGGCAACGTGCCCTACGTCCAGTTTGAGTCGGTCGGTGACTTTATTCCTAAGCCTAGGTGCTCGAAGTTTGCAGGTTACAAACGAGAAGGAGAAAGATGGGGGGTACAAGAGGTCCGGTCATACTCCGGTCGGATGGGCCGAGAGTGACAAGAGCTCCGCTATGAGCTAAATGTTCGAGCGTGTGCTCGTGGTTTGAACCTGGTGGTTCTGCTATTGTGTGCTAGTGAACTTGATCGATCTAATAAATCTGGAATGACTTGAATGTTGGGAGAGAGCGCATCCCCTTCTATAGATGAAGGGGATGGCCTTACAAGTGAGAGGGAGAGAGTATGTATGTTTCTCAGCCTTGTTGCCCACGCCGGCGGGTACAGGATGATGGTAGGCGCCCACAACACTGTTGGATGTCAGATGCACGTGGGAGGTTGCGTCGTCTTGTTCAGGTATGGCAGATGTCGGTACCTGCTATACTGTTGATGTCTAGAGGCATGTGAGGAGTTTTACCATGTTCACTCGGTACGGTAAATGTCGGCGTCCACAACACTGTCGATGCCCAGAGGCATGTGGGGGGAGCCTTACCGTATGGGAGTTAACGGCGCCCACAATAATGTAGGGGAAAATGTCAGCGCCTACAACATTACTTGGGTTCTGCCGTGCCAGGGAGGTCGCAGAGCACTGTTCTTGCAGGTGTACAAGATACGGTCCCCGGTATTGCGGTTTGACTTGTGCGCCCTGCCTTACTTTCTCTGTCCGTTTCCTGGTCTTTACCGAACGGGCGTCCCCGGTCGGTTAGTCCCATTCAGCTCCAAATGCGCCAGTTGGAGAAGAGCAGTGAGCAGGGGTTTGCCGCATCCCCAGTCGGAGATGCAGGTCGGAGTCAGAAGTAGTGCTTTGGCCAGGCCTCCCGGTCGGAGAGGCTATCTGGAGGCGGGCTAGAGACCAAAGCGAGTGCTCCGGTCGGAGAGGCGGGCCGGAGTCGGAAAGCGGGCGCTGTTCCTCCTCGGCCAGGCCTCCCGGTCGGAGATTCGATTGCCCCTATGGCCTGTTATTCAGGTACTTGGGCCGGCCCATGAGTTGTGCGTTTGTCTGCTTGGGCCGAGCCTTTATTGGGAGGCCAGTCCACGAGAGACCCTGGGTTTATGAACCCGACAGTAAGAAACCACCGTTCAAGAGCTTCTCTATATCTTATGGATGGTGAGAAACCAAAAGAAGAATTGTCACATTTAGCCCCCCCCCATCTAGATCTTGTTGAAGAGTGTTTTTCTATATATCCGGTGCATGGTGAGAGACCAGGAAGAAAGAATGGCCACATTTGGAGATATACATGAAGAAGCTGTCTAAGAGTTTCTCTGTATCTTATGCATGGTTACAAACCAGGACCAATGAATGGTCACATTATGATATCTAATTCAAGTTGTTGAAGGATTTAAGGATATAAAAAGACCTTTTTGAAATTGCTCTAAATCAGGCCCGCCCCATCCCCTAATACGCGAACTCAACTCGGGGATTAAGACCAGTTGCCATCTCTACCCAATGCCACCAAACAAATGGCACGTTAGAACACAACAAATAACGCTAGCAACTGATTTTCATTACCACTGACACTCCATTAGCCAAACCAACGGGCACACTTAGTAGACGTCACTAACCTCACACAAAGTGCACTTTACATAAGTATTACCAGGGCATGCTAAACTGTCATAATTAACAAAATCCTCAACGAGTACATATCATGGAAAGGTTGCAAAACATCAAAATTCTCTCTTCTCTTAAGCACCAGCAGGATCTAAGCACACAACCACAGTCTGGGAGTGGCTGAACATAGTGGTTCTGCAATCACAAGAACTGAGTAAGATAACAGCAAACATTTCAATTTGGTCAGCATGCTGAAATCCCAAAAGCTATAGAACCCTAGAGATAATTGCTGTCAGGCCTAGTTGTCACATGTAAATTAGAACTCAGTGGAATCAATCATGCACCATACACAATATAATCAAAACAGCTACACTTGCAAAATTGCAGCAATAAAGCAAATAAATGGGCAAGGAATGATACGGCGTATTGCAATTGTCGTAACCAAAGACAAAAAAAAAAGCAGCAAGGATCAAGAACACTTACATGCTGAAACAGCCCTGGCACTTGACATCCTGCACACAAGGGAGAAAAAAACGAGAAAAAAACATGATTAGAGTCAGTCTCCAATCAGATGGCACAAGAGCAGACACGTCTCCTATATATCAGAGATGATTTGCAGGCCAGGGCCATCCCTTTGTGAGTGCAAGCTGTACGCTTGCACAGGGCCCCATTAATTCTATCAAGTAATTTTAATCTACTTTAAAAAAGTTTCATGACAAGATTAAGATGACGTTATGATAGTATAATTTGTGTAATTTTGCACTAATTACCATGTAGTAATGTCAATTTTTGATGATTTGAGGAAGTATTGAGAGAACATATTAGTAAACCCTAACCAATTAATACAAGTTAGTAGATAACTTTAAAATTCATTTTCATTTCTGTAGCATCTAACTTAACTTCATGTACAAGTATATAATTGTTACACCTACTTGGCAAACAAGGGCAGTTAAGTTTTATTGTTACTTTGTTGGAAGTACTTTTTTTCTGTAGCATTTGTCACTAAATCGAACTTATGGTACTCTCTTCCAAATCAAATCAATCTGTTAGGTTCTTTTTTTTTCTTTTGCCAAAACTTGGGTCTCTTTAGGGTATAAATTTATTTTCTTGGCATAGGGCCATGATTTGCACCACCCTATCACGCAGAATGAGAAAAGGTCATGAATGAACAGGCATACCATGAAGAAAGAGTTGGGAGACTGGACGAGGCGCTTCTTCTTGTGCTTTAACTTCTCAAGCTCTGCCGGTGGGTTGACCAGGTCGATGTCGTTCTGCAGCACCTGCTCCGATTTCCAAGAATGCACCAAGAACAGCATTAGATCGAAGGCCAATCAACGAAACCGAAATAAAAAAAAAGAAATACAAACACGCGGCTGGGTCAGGAAGCGAGAAGTACAAACACGCGGCCAGATCAGGAAGCGTACCTTCTTGGAGATGCGGTCGCCTCGGGCGTTCCTCCTATGGAGGAAGGGAGAGAGAGAGGAGAAAACCGATCCAGCGCGAGGTGGCGACGGGGAGAGAGGCGAGAGAGCAGGGTGGATGTTTAGAGGAGCAGGCTTTTACACGTGTGTCATTAAAAAAATTAAGCTCCCATAAATATCATTACTCTTGACTCTTTTATCTCTTATACCATTCCGTTGATCTTTCGTTCATTTTTTACTGTTTACTCATCCAGACATATGAGCCCGGCTAGCAAAGATGTCCAAACTACCACTATCTCCCAATCCCTATGCCCTCGGGCCGCTTCTGCCTTCCTTTTGTGCACGCCTCAGCGCTCGTTGCCGCCCTCCCTCGTGCTAAGCTCGCCCAGGCCGCTCGCGATGGCCTGGCCAGAGATCGTGTGTGCGCCATTCGTGGTGGCTGGGGCGCGGCTGGGACGGAGCTCGCCTCCTCGCGTCGTGTCTATTGGCCAGCGAGGACCGTCTACGGCAGCTCCGTCGGCCATGGCAGCTAGGGTAGCAGCGCCGCGGGCCAAGGCAACTGCGCCCGCGATCAGGGTAGGCGCGCCCCCAGCCAGGCCACCACCAGCAGCGGCCAGGGGGCTGCGCCCCGAGACACGAGGCCGGCCATGGCAGCTGCGCCTCCCCTGATTTACTCATGAGCTATGATTTATTTACGTACCCTGTACCCTCTATCCCCAATCTCATTTTGAGAGTCAATAACAACCAAGATTGATTCCAAGCCAAATTAGGTTTCTCTCAAGCTAGCGGCAAAGCGCGTCCTTTCTCTAGCTCGCGTCCCTTCTCCAACTCCTTCATCTTCCGTCTCGAGGGGTTCTGGAAGCAGATCGGGGCGAGTGGACGGCGGCGGCGCTGCCCATGGATGCTGTACCGCGCAGGGCGAGCAGCCACCGCAACGCGGCGCTGGCCTTGGGCGCGCAGTACCGCAGGTTGAGTGGCTGGCGGCGGCGCTGCCCCCTGGACGCCATATCGAGCAGGGAGAGTAGCCGGCGGCGGCGACGGGACGAGAGTCAAGAGAGACTTGGAGTTGGAGAAGTAAATTCGTGCGCTCGAGCGACCCTTCAAGGACCGCAACGTAATCCTCGACATCTGCGGCCGCAACTTCCTCGTCATTGGTTGTGGGCGGCATCCGGCGCGGGATTCACGGTTGGGTGGCGTCCAGTGGACTGCTCGTTGGCGGCAACGCGGGGTTCACGGTGGCCTGCTAGTTGGCAGCGTGTCGAGGTGCTGGAGCGCCTGCTCACGGTGGCCAGGGTGTTGCGTGTTAATTCAGCCACTGGGATGGCATCCCCCACGCAGGGGCGACAGACGGTGGCCGCGCCGTCCGCGCCTCCGCAGGCGGTGCCCAGGGTGCCGGCTGCGGGTCGCTCGGCGGCTTCGCTCGGCAGGGCAGAGAAGAGAGAGAGAAAAGTTTGGGTGGCTGACAAACGAGCCCCACTGTAGGCCAAAGTGGTCATTTCATCTATTTGTTTGACACCGTTGGAGATAAAACTAGACGAAATGGCTTCGGGGACAAAAGAGTTCAGAGCAGTGGAATCTATGAGATCTCAACTTTTTTAATGATTTATAGGTAATTAATAACTTTTTTAATGACACATAGGTAAAAGCCTAGATACTTTAGAGGTGTGGGGTGACGAATCTCAGGCGTTCATCGAGGTGCTCCGTTCATCTGCTCCGTGGAGGCGCAAGACCAACAAATCAAGGCCTTTCTCCTTGGGCTGCAAGCCTGCAGGCTGCAGCTCCTTCACGAGTCATGACACCGGTCTCTGGTTTGCTAAAAAAAAACTGGTCTCTGGGCCCCACATGCGAACTACCCATTAACCCTATTAGAGCAACTCCAAGAGCATCTTAAACGCCTTCAGAATCTCCAAGAGTTCTCTATTTGTCTTCCTAATACTTGGTTTTTAGGAAAATAAAAAAAAATCTCTCTCCAACAGTTCCTAATCTATCCTCTTAATATTTAGGTACTTGGGAAAACTGAGCCAGTTCCGCGTAACTTTACGCGGCTCTTGAATCGCGCGGATCCTTCTCCCGCGCGGTTTCCGCCTTCGCGCCTTGTAGTCACGCGCTTTTCTCCGATCCTTCCCACGTTGGTCTCCATCGTCGCGCCAAAGAACTTTGACGATTGACGCTGCCGGTACGTAGACGATTGACGCCGCCAGTATGTAGACGATCGACGCCGCCGCGGGCTTCCTGCACGGCAACCGCTGCGCCTTCCAGCTTGCCGCCGCTGCCAAGGCTGGTTGTGGCCGGCTACGGATGATGTGCTTGTCCATCAGATGATGGTACAGACCGGCACGATTGTCTGTTGGTGGTTGTTGTGCTTGTCTGCTGCTACTGGCCGGCTGTTGTGCTTGTCTGCTGCTACTGACGGTGGCGGCGGCGGATGGGAGTTGGCGGCGGCGGCAGGGAGATCGCGACGTGAGGGGTTCGACACGCCCTGTGACGTCTGGCGACAGAAAAAAAAGCCACAAAAAATAGATGTGAGACCCAAATTTAATTTTTTAAAAGCAATTTATTAGAAATTCTTGAGGTGGCTTTCTTTTTTCCCTCCTAATACCTTTTTAGGAGTCGTAAAACTACAAAAAAAAATAGGGAACTCTCGGAGATGCTCTAATCTTTGTTTTTTAGCAAGATTGGAAAAAATCTCTCTCCAACAACTCATAATATATCCTTCCAAATTTTTAGGACTTGGGAAAAATCACCTCAATCGGCGTAAAGTTACGCGCTGCTCCCGTCGCGCGTATCCGTCCCCCCGCCCGATTTCTCTCTTGCCGCCGTCATTTTGGCGTGGCTTCTTGCTTCGCGCCATCTCATGTCGCAGGGTAGCGGGCAAAGGGCGATCGAGAAGTTCTCGGCGACGGACCTGCGGGACTGCCCGGTGGCGCGGCTGAGCCATGGCTGGGGATCAGTGTGACGGAGTTCAAGAGGAAGGTGGCCGAGTACCGGGCTAGCAACAAGCCCGTGGTCCCTGGCGCCGACGCCACAGACACCGGCACCCCAATCGTCGAGTACGACGAGGCCCCAGCGGCTGCCGTCGCCACTGACGAAGAGTAGAGCGAGCATCTCGTGTCGCCGTCACCGATCGCAGGGGTTCGCCGCCCCCGATGCCGAGCTTTCCTCACCAACACCGGCATGGAGACCCGCTTCGTGCCCACCTCTGAGCCGATAGCGGTCATGAACCAGCGTGGAGATGATGTGGGCCTCAAATTTGATTTTTTAGATGACATTTATTAAAAACTCTTGGAGATGACTATCTTTTCCCCTTCTAATATCTTTTTTGGAGTTACCAAACTACAAGTTTTTAGGAGAAAAAATTATGGAACTCTTGGAGATGCTCTTAATCCCTGAATCCTTCCCGCCTCCTCCCTATCTTGCCGCTGCAATGGAGGACACAGCGGCTGAAGAGACCGAGGTGAGCGGCGCGGCGGAGTTTGAATCTATCTGCTTATTGTTAGTTGTATTCTCTTAGAGCATCTCCAAGAGTGCCCTATATCCCTTCCCCATCTATCTTTTTTTTGGAAAAAGGTGAAAAAAAAACTCATCTCAAAGAGTTCTCCATATCTCTTCCCCATCTTTCCGCACTTGGCAAACCACCATCACCTGCGCGCAAATATACGCGCGGCCTGGGAGCGCGCGTCCGGAGTTTCCCCGCCCGCCTTCTCCTTCCCGCGCTCCGCAGTCCTTCCCGCGCGACATCTCCTTCACGCCATAGCCCAGGTTCCGTCTAGGGGAGACGACCTTCGACGCCGCCATTGATGTACTCGTCCTCTCCACGTCGATTAGGGTTTCCGGTTGCTAGGGTTTCGGTAGCCGCCGCCTAGAGGCCACGGCAGCAGCAGGCACAGCCATCACTAGCATGCCTCTGCGCCACCCCTTGCCGCCGTCGTGGCCCTTCCGACCGGGATCAGCCGCTCGCTCTTGTCGGCGCGTTGTGTTGCGAGTCTCAGAAGAAGAAGGGAGTGGGAAAAGAAAAGGAGGAAAGACAAGGTTCCAGGTGAGAAAAGCGCAAGAGTGAAAGATCCAGTGGAAGGGCTTAAACGCGTAGAGAAACAAATTTAGGGTTCCTGATGCAAAACATGAGACCAGGTCGTGGGAAAAAAAGTGCCGAGAAAAAAACTTTTAGGATAAATATATAGGAAACTCTTGGAGATGACCTCTTTTTTTCCTCCCCATACTAATTTGGGAGTTGGCAAACACCATGTTTTGGGGAACAAAATATGGGGAACTCTTGGAGATGCTCTTATGACTTACTTTCGTGTGGAGGAATGGAATTTTTTCTTTAAGAAAACAATGGAAGTCGTGAGTCAGGTTGTGTATCAAAATTATCAGGTCCTGGGTGCTTAGTTTTACATTGCTGAATCCTGAATTCACCTGTTCCAGTGAGAAGTGGAGCACCTTTTCTTTGCATTTCAGTTGATGGAATTTTACTCTGTTCGTCCAGGGCTGGTCATTCAGTTTCATTGTCAGATGATTGTGGTCACCGTTCTCATTCAGATACTATAAGAGCTATTTGCTTCAGTGTGAGTGGAGCTTTGTTTGCATCCGCTGGTGATGACGAACTTGTGAAGGTTTGGAAGACTGATTCGTGGCGTTGCATCCAGACTTATGTAAGCCACACTCTGCTCTTCTGTTCTCATTGAGAATAACAAAATTGGCACCAGAACGATGGGCTTTAAGTTTGCAAGTATCTGTATTCTTGGACTCTGTTCCATTGCAATAATTATTTAACTGAAAGTCCATATTCATTAAATAGTTCTGTCCATGAATTTCACACTTTTGATAATGTAATTTGAATAAGAATTTGTTGCAATGTTTTCAATTACAGAACTACCGAGAAGAGGGTCAGTGCAGTTGCTACAGATCTTTCTGACGCTGAGACTCAACGTTGCCCTCAGATAGAGACTGTACTCCCGCCATTTGATGTACCAGCTAATAGTCAGTTGTTAAATGGAATCCACTACCCAAGGGAACTAAACAAATGACACTTTAAGTTAAACCTCAACAAATAACGTCAGCAACTGATTTCACTACCATTGCCACTCCCTTGGCAAAACCAAACTGCACCTTAGTAGATGTCACTAAGCTCAAGCAAAGTGCACGTTTACAAAAGCATTGCCAGGGCAAGCTAAACAGCCATAATAATTAACAAAATCCTGAAAGAGTGGGTAAGGTAGTAAAACAGCAAATTTCTCTTTTCTCCAATTAAAAGGCAGCAGGATCTAATCGCCCTTGCGACGGAAGGAGCACCCCTCGGTGAGCCTGGCCTTCCCACCAGTAGGTTGGCAGAGAACAGTTTGGCAGCCTGGGCACACAACCACAGTCTGGGAGTGGCTGAACACAGTGGTTCTGCAATCACAAAAACTTTGTAAGATACAGCAAACATTTTATTTGTTCAGCATGCTGATATCACAGAAGCTATACAACCATAATAACCTTTCAACAAAGGATAACGTTTAAAGATCACAGATAATTGCAGTAAAGCTTAGTGGTCACACGTAAATTAGAACTCGTACACAACATGATCAAATAAAGCAGCGAGGTGTAACGTTGTGCAATTATCAAAAGAAATACAAGCGCAATCTAAATTAACCCACATTTAAACAGAACAATTGGTACTTGTACTGGTCAGGTGAGAAACAAACAAAAAAAGGAGTCAAAACATTAACAGTTTCCATCTCCATCTATAAACAATTTTGTTGTCCTACGTATTCAGGAAGTGAGAATTGCATTCTTCTGGCGACAGAGGGGGTATAAAATTTTACGAAATCAAGATACAACCTTATAACTAAACCAAGAATTTTCATATTTTAACTAGCTAGTAGTAATCGCAACCCTACTAGTAAACTGAGCATGCCAAACTGTCAATGGAAAACCAGTAACACAAGATTAGTAGATCACATCAGCAATCAGCAATGGATAAATGGAATGACACGGCGTCTATATCAATTGCAATTATAGTAACTAAAAACAAAAATGGAGCAAGGATCATGAACACTTACATGCTGAAACAGCCCTGGCACTTGACATCCTGCACACAAAGAAGAAAAACGAAAAAAAAAAACATGATTAGAGTCAGTCTCCAATCAGGCACAAGAGCAGATACGACTAATATTAATATTAATATGAATATAAGTCGATACATGTAACTTTAAGATTCATTTTCATTTCTGTTTTCACATTTTAGCTCTCTTATAAACACAACTTATTTGATGATGAATTATGCATAACCTATAGCATCCAGCTTGACTACATGTATGTTACATGGCAAACAAGAGCAGTTAAACTGTCTTGTTGCTTGTTGGAAGTAATTTTTGATGTAGTTATCGATACTAAATCCATTTTCTGGACTCTCTTCCAAACCAAATCACCCTATTAGGTTCAGGTTAACTAAATTCCAATGATACATTCGTTGGGTCTCTTTAGGGCATGATTCGCAACACCCCATCACGCAGAATTAGAAAAGGGCATGAACAGGTATACCATGAAGAAGGAGTTCGGGGACTGGACAAGGCGCTTCTTCTTGTGCTTTAGCTTCTCAAGATCTGCCGGCGGGTTGAGCAAGTCGATGTCGTTCTGCAGCACCTGCTCCGATTTTCAAGAAAGCATGCGTAATATCATTAGATCGAAGAGCAACCAACAAAACCGAAATGAATATGGGGATCGGAACAGGGAGCGTACCATCTTGGAGACGCGGTCGCCTTGGGCGTTCCTGGCCTGCGCCTGCTATGGAGAGAGCAAAGGCGAGCGCGTGGTGGCGGCTAGGCGGAAGACGAGAGCGGAGGGTGGATACGTTATATAGGTGCGGCCGTGTGGGGTGGACAATCTGAGGCGTTCATCGAGGTGCTGCGTTCATCTCGGCCTTCCGTCTGGTGTTCGTGGAGGCCCAAGACCAACAAACCAAAGGCCTTTGCTCTTTGGGCTGCAAGCCCGCAAGCTATCCGGGCTCTTCTTCGTGACACTGTTCTCTGGGCCCCACGTGCGAACTGCCTGTAAACCCTAATCCCTGAATCCCTCCACCGCCTCCTCCGTCTCGCGCTCGATTCGAATCCTAGCTCCCTATCTTGCGGCTGCTGCTCCCGCCTCCCGCTGCAAGCCTGCAATGGAGGACACAGCGGTCGAAGAGCCCGAGGTGAGCGGCGCCGCGGAGTTCGCGCCGGCGCTCGTCGCCGCCCACCCACACGGCAACTCCGTCGCCGTCGCCATTGGGCCCGAGCTCCGCGCGTTCGATCTCAGGTTTCGAAATTAGAATACCCTCTTCCCTTCCATCGCCGCTTCCTAATTAAACATGGACATCTTATGCAGAAAGTGCCCGTGTTTGATCACACGATTGGTAGATTTTGACGGAGGCTGTAGTGAACAGAATCTATCTGCTTATCGTTAGTTGCATATTCTCTTATAACTTCGAAAAAAAAAGTTTCGTGTGGAGAGTATTGGAAATTTTTCTTTAAGAAAACAATGGAATTCTTGTGAGTCAGGTTGTGTAAATTGTTTCTGTCCTGGGTGCTTAGCTTTATATTGCTGAATCCTGAATTCGCATGTTCCAGTGAGAAGTGGAGCGTCTTTTCTCTGCATCTCACTTGGTGGAATGTGCAAGTAAATATTTACTCTGGCTCTGTTCCTCCAGGGCTGGTCTGCCAGTTTCATTGTCAGATGAGTGTGGTGGCCGTTCTCATTCAGACGCTATAAGAGCTATTTGCTTCAGTGTGAGTGGAGCTTTGTTTGCATCCGCTGGTGACGATAAACTTGTGAAGGTTTGGAAGACTGATTCGTGGCGTTGCATCCGGACTATGTAAGCCACACTCTGCTCTTCTGTTCTCATTGCGAATAACAAAATTGGCACCAAAACATTGGGCTTTAAGTTTGCAGTATCTGTATTCTTGGACTCTGTTCCATTGCAATAATTCCGTTTTTTCAATTGACATTATGTATCTGAAAATCCATATTCATTATATAGTTCAGTTCATGAATTTCACACTTTTGATAATGTAATTTGAATAAGAATCTGTTTCGATGTTTTCAATTGCAGAACTTCCGAGAAGAGGGTCAGTGCAGTTGCTATTAGC